AAGTAAACGTTGGACACAAATACAGAGGCCCACATAAACTAAAGTAAACGTTGGACACAAATACAGAGGCCCACATAAACTAAAGTAAACGTTGGACACAAATACAGAGGTTCACCAAAACTGAAGTAAACGTTGGACACAAATACAGAGGCCCACATAAACTAAAGTAACCGATGGACACAAATACAGAGGCCCACTTACGTGATGGAAGTATGTGGTCCGGATATAGTCCTGGTGGCCGAGCAGTGTAAACAGACATCTCCTCTGTTTATAGTTCCACACCTGGTAACACAGACCAAACATGTGATTATGCTTTCAGCTAGCTTTAGGAATTCAAAGGGTTAATTTTTTCAAAAATCTTCTCAAAAATGTAAAGACCTTTAGTTGATAAATAATTTGAATATTTTAGTGAAACTCATAGTAGTATTTAGATGGAAGAATTTAAAGATTGTTTTGAGACTGAGGTAATAATTTTTTGTTCCTGATAACTTTCAATGAAAAAAACTTTAATTTTGAAAAACACGTTTTGAAATAAGAAGTCATGATCATAACTGTTAATATATTGATACTGCCATATTCAAAAACCAATCGTTGAGGACGAACCCATTTAAACAGTCTGGACCTGGTGAAGTTACAGTAAATAACTTCATAGATCACAATCATCATGATGAACTGGATTGAAAACTAACCTTAATCTTATAGTCATCACCACCGGACACAAACAGGGGCTGCTGCTGGTGGAAGCATATCCCTCTCACAGGTCCTGGTAACACAAAGATCAAGTATTAACAAATAAGAAGCATATCCCTCTCACAGGTCCTGGTAACACAAAGCTCAAGTATTAACAAACAAGAAGCACATACAAATCATGTTTTATATTCAAAACATAACCAGTTTTCAATCAAACTTTAAATATTAACTTATTACTTAAAGTCCTACATTTAGAATAAACTGAATTGAATTGAACTTAAAATCCTTCATTTTGCCCTGTATAATTCTTTTGTGTTTCTTCAGATTGATGTTTAATTAACCACAATAATAACTTGGGTCAGTTATACAATCAGGATACTTGCAGCTAATGGAAGTATTTGTCTAATCAAATAATTGGTGTATGAGAAGACAATGATAAGATCCTATTTATCATAAACTATGATAAATAGTTTAAACTAATCCACGGAAATGAAAACATAACCTACTACCTTTTCTTACATAGGGCATTCTCATTTGCCAGTTTGGTACACTTTTATTTTTTATAAATTTAGATACATACATTTTATACAAAGTAAACTAACACTCAGCTTTTGTAAAATAATATGTTTATTCCTTTTATATTCATTGTGAATTATTACAAATGAAGTATTTTGGAACTCTGTAATCATTCTGCTTCCTTTCTGTAACATTCCCATATTTACTAATGGGTGCAGTCATATGGTTTAGCCAACACATTTAATTACTGAGTATTATAACCCCTTTGATTACAGAGTATTATTTAATACCGATTGTATTTTTAGTGTACTGTAGTTTACAATAGGTCATACCAAATATTAAGTGAATTATATATACATTATTATAATATACATCATTATATATATTTATTATTATATATATGCTGTTTGCTTGTGAATTTGTAGCTGTTATAAGTATTTATCATATGTGTCAATATGAACTGTCTATTTAAAGTTAGCAGAGTTTGTTTCAGTACATTTTCTTAATAATAGTTTTAACATTGTTACTGGCATAAACAGATGAATTGACACACTGGCAGTGATTCTTTTGGGCTCAGTTTTAATGCCGAATACATGCGGTTTCCTGTAGCTAAAAAGAGCCCTGTTTCCCGTAGCTAAAAAATGTCCTATTTTCCACAAAATTACCAAAACTGAGGAATTTATTCCCAATTTTAATACAAATGATGCTATATTTTCCCAATTCATTAAGGAAGAGGCTGTTGTAAATTTTAGGTTACAAAAACACCGACTGGTATTCATCATTTTTATGAAAAAGAATCCCAACACCACATATAGATCTACTTACCATCATGTTCATCAAACTTGTCTATGAGTGTACACATTCGATAATCCCACAACTGGATGACTCCATTGAACAAGCTAGCCAGTACCCAGGGCCGTTTAGGGTGAAAGGATAAACCTACAAAAAAGAAATCATTGTTTCACATGAATCAATCATTGACATATGGCCCAGCACAATATGTCAGCGAATTTACTAATGGCTGTAACTTCCCATGTGGGTTATGATGGACCCAAGTGAAAATTCTTCAAGGTGTATTTGGATGGTGCATGACAACATTTTGACAAAATTCATGACAGAATATTCATAAGTAGTTGATGACCAGTTATGTATTTAAATTTTACATAAATTCTGTGAAAAACTGTTAACTAAATACAACATTTCAGGAAATCTAAAATAACAAATGTTAAAAATTAATCATATATTATTTTTTAGTTTGCATTACAAATCAAATAAATTTAATTCAATATTCATGCAGTAGTCTTTTATTTTATAAGTAATTTGAATCTGGAATTTGCTAATTACCACTCTCCAGTTCAAATAATGCCTAAAGCCTATCTAAAATGAGGTGTGTGTGTTTGTGTACATAAACAGCACCTTACCACCTTCCTGTGGAGATGTTTTCAAGGTGTTCAATAAAACATCAACACACCTAACTATCTACTGATTTATCTTTTCTTGGGGTTTCTCTTGTCAAAATGAATTCATTATCATATTATAATGCTATCTTCTTGGGTGTTAGGGCAGTTTACTAATTGGGTCCTTGTGACAAGTGTAGAGTGCAATGCTTAGTGGTTCATTATTCAAACAAATATTCTCTAATAGCAAAATAAAGGCAGACCTTGCTTGCTAAAGGATCGCTGGTAGTGGATGTCAAAATACTTAATTATATAAACTACAGGGCCACTTTTGTTTATCGTGATCATCGCGATCTAAATAGTTAAACCAGTTGGACCTGAGTTGTTCATTTATCAAGTAAGGTCGAACCTAATAATCTGATGCTGCTTTTAGGCGAGTCTTGACAAAGACTTGCAAGGGTTTATACCAAAAAATCATACTTTTAAAAATAGACCAACCACTGAGCTAAAGGGGAATTCCCGCTAGCTCTAAGCTAGAAGGTGACCTTAATCCTATGTATAATTAAAACCTGCCACACTACTCCCCCGTTTTTAAATGTGTTTGCCCTCGAACGCCACAACCCAGGTTCTAACTCCCTTTCACCACAGTGAGGGCCGCCACAGACACATGTTAAATGCTCACAATCGTTGTCGTCAGGTTTTGACAACAAATCCCAATGTTTTATAGACCATAAACAGGCGACCAATCAGAATTGTTGAGCCTGCTATAATGGTCAGTTTTAATGGACTAACCAACCACTGGCCACAGGTCAATCAACAGACCCTTAACCCAAAGACAGTCTTAGCTATTATAGTAAACGAACCATGATTCCTGATGCAAAAATACATCAGTAAAATGGAATAATATTTGTTTGTAAATCCTATTATTGTGTGGGTTTTCCAGTGCATCTTCTGGAGCAAGAAAATGCTTCTTACTTGTTAAACTAATTACAGTCTTCTAAGCGTTCGCTTCTAGATAGCATTATTACAATCTTTTTTACATGATACAGAACATTGATTTTTTTAAATCAACACACTAAAAGCGTTTGTGTTAACTTTTAACGACAAAACCTTGTCACCAACAAATATGCGCATACCAAAAAGCATCGATGACAACAAGATATAGGACAGTCTCACAATTCGAAGACTTACAACGACTGGAAGAACAGTGCGAACAGATACTGACTGGTGAAGTCTACGTATAACAATTTCTTATCTGACAGTTGCTTTCATTACAGGCTTTCAGTATGTTTTGGAGACAAGTGTATAATTCCACAGATTTTAACAAGTCTAAATTACCTTTCACCCTTGCAGACTTCGTTTCAAACTTTGTTAACATATTTCCATATGTTTTTCACATCAAAATAAAGCGATATTTGCACGCCGGCGAAATATCTCCACCGTGGAAGTAAAATGGCAGGTTACACGTCAAACCGGAAGTTGTTTTGTAACGTAGACTTTGATTGGTCAATATTTGGGAGTACTAAATACAGCGATGGACGGTTTTGTATTCTCAGTTACGGACGGTTGTACGTTTTATGTGTAAGCTATGAAATATGAAATGGCAAAGCCTTAAAAGAGCGAAGCTTTTGTTGATCTCTGATACTTACTTACTTAGAATGAGATAATTTTAATACTGCTTTCAGAATGAGGCAAGATAAAATTTATTTAAAGTCGGCTAGTCGAGGGATAACAATATAACATAAACTCTACAGTAATGAGATTAAGACCGATATAACAATAGGGGAGATCGGGGCAAATTCGGCCCATTTTTATTAAAGTCCGTTCTGGGAAGTATGGCAGCACGTCCGTTTTTGAACATTATTTAATTTCCATGTCGGATGGTCGGATGAACGCCGCAATCGGATAAGTTCGGACGGGCATTCGGGTAGGTTCGGCCCCATTGTAATCAGCTTAATTATGACGTTATAAAGCCTGCAATGTCAAATTTTATCACCAATTTTACGACTTTTTATGTGTAACATGGGCCGAACTTGCCACGGTATCATTGGCCGAAACTGGCCGGGCCCAACTTGATATTTCAATAAATTCTTATCGTACAGTTACACGTTTGACCGTAAACAAATAGCAATTCCGTTTACAGAAAGTTCGCACTTTCTACCCTCTCAAAAGTAATTATCTCCTGTTTAGTAATTTTAAATTAGAGTTTTGCTCGCCATTTTTTCGTGTGAATGCCCAGCCAACTAGCCAACTAAACTTCTAAGATCTTTAAAGTAAAATATTAGCTAAAAAACAAAAATATCAGGGGTGGCCGAACTTGTCCCGGTCTCCCGTATGTATTTTTTTTGTATCGTTGATGATTGGTAAAAATGTATTCGCAATATAATTTTTGCATCAATGACGTCATTTTCAAAGCTAAAGTAGATGATGGGTCGGTGGCGCAGTGGATAGCGCGCTCGTCTTCTCCAAGATGGCCGGATTCAATCCCGGTTACCTGCCCGACCACGCGGGTTTTTCTCCGGATACTCCGGCTTCCTCCCACATAAGAATTAAATCCTCTGCGTGCTTCCGTCAGGTCACAAAAAGAATGATTGAAATAAGTTGGGGGAAAACTGTTTTGTAATTGCTATAGAAAAAAGGGCATATTATATATTTGACGATAAGTCTATAAAAGTAAATGTATAGAGATGTTAGTTAAAAAAATGAAATTAAAAAAGAAAACATTGTAATACTGTATGATGTAACTGAGATTGTCGTTACATCGATATTTAGAATTCCTGTTCTATCCTGAAACACCGGATTGAATTTCAAGTTTTGTAACTGTCACTGAGGAGGTAATGATACCAAATACAATTAAACAGTTTATGTCTGTATAACTAGTTATAAATCGGCATGCGTAGTGAAAAAGTGATACGTTGCTGAAAAATGGCGTTGAACTCGGGTTCGCTGTCTGGACAATTATTGTTGATTTCGATATAAATGAATTATCCATTGTTTCTTTTATGAGTGTTGATGCATACATAAATTATGCAAAGACTACAGCCAGACTTTCAAAATGTTAATTATTTCGTTCATATACACAACAAATCGAAATCAAAAGCTGATGAAATTTTAGACGATGAAAAATAAATGTACACGTTGACCTATTCCGTCTTTGCGTATTGCAGAGTTATCTTCTCTTGGGAGCAGGTATTGATTGTTACGTCACTTGTTTGTGAGAGTAACGTCATCAATTTTTGAGAAAACGACGTAATTTTCTCACACAAACCAATGACGTAACAATCAATACCTGCTCTTCAGTCATAACAATTGGTCAGTATTTAATCAATAGTTAACAATCATACCAATATCATTTATCAACACATAGGTATATCAAAGTAATCAAGGCATTTTCCACCGGCGACAGGCCAAGTCCAGTTCCCGTCTTCATTATGAAAAAAATTGTTTGTGATTGTATTTTATGTGTACACTGTCTTATCCGTACAACAACATTGACTTAAAATTTGAGACGGCAGTTTCAGCTTGCTAGTAAGGTATACACGCTTGTTCAATTCAATCAATCACCTTGTGGGTGATGAATACGTGTAATATGCAGACACTGCTCTCATCTATATGAATTTTCTGACATCTTTAACGGCTTAATTCTCTACGATAGTAGATACATAATGATTGACATTGCAATTGGTACAGAGGTTATCTGTCTTGTATAGGTCAATACCCAAGGTCATCTACAAAGTCCGTGTCCCCAACTACGGTGACAGAAATCCCTAAATTTCTCATCAACCAATCTATTACAATAAGTCATAATTGATGAAAGCATCCTCACCTGACTGCCATGTCTACTTTGAAAGGTGTGACATATTAATCATAACGTTCAGCATCTGCCCATAGTACCCAGAATCCTCCGCATCTGCCCATAGTACCCAGAATCCTCCGAATCTGCCCATAGTACCCAGAATCCTCCACATATTTGCTCTGTTCACCATTCTGTTTCGAATGATTTTGTCAGGAAGATACAAATGATGCAGAGTAGTGACTGCCGTACTTGGGACTTCCTGAAACATATTTCTGCCCGGAATCCTGATTGTTCCGCCTTATTTCAAGAGTCCACAATAACCCTTGATCCACCCTGCAGGCATCCTTGACATTCCAGGGGTGACGCTCACTTACGTTTTCTGCACTGAACTTTGATGAAAGTAACCCCTGGAAATCTTGCACATAGCAAAAGGCGACGAACGCGGGACTTTCTTTAGTGTNTTTTTTTTTTTTTTTTTTTTTCCCCCCCCCCCCCCCCCCCCTCTGAGTTCCATAGCGTTCTTAACGCTACTTATTTCCAGTTACTTGTGTAAGTCCGTTTTGCACTATGCCTAACATATTTATATTTGAAAATGGTCATCTTAACGTTACGTCATAATATAAACCCACATAAGGCCACTAGCCCAGATGAAACCCATATGATAAGAACATACTAAAAGACTGTACGGAAAGCATCGCCCATATTTCTAACTCTTATCTACAGCAAAGATATTTCTTCCTGAACTGTCCGCCATGACTGGAATCTAACCGAAGTCTGTCCTGTCTACACGCATGACCCTATCAACTATGGTCCACTTTCTTTCATTATGCTGCAAAATCATTGAACATGTAATTAGTAAGTAGTAACATCATGCTACACCTTGACTTAAACAACAATCTGTAAGACTTGCAACATATATAGGTTCCGTCCTTCTTGCTCCGGTGAAACACAACTAATTCCCTTGATTCAAGATCTGGCCGCCAACCAAAGAAAAATCATTTTGCTAAAGCATTTGCTAAACTTTCACATAAACATCTCGCAAATGAATGAGACTATAATTGTATCAGAGGAAACACACTTCATCAGATGTCATCTTTTCTCTCAAACAGAATCAATCTGTTGTCATAACTGGAGACATTTTAAACTGTCGCTTTCTCCTATGGTGTCCCCCAGGGATCAGCCCTGGGTCCTATTCTCTTCCTTATCTATATCAAAGACCTTCCAACGTATCTTAAATATAGCACTTTCCGCCTTTTTGCTGATGATATCATTATTTATAAAGTTACAAACTGATGCAGCTCATTTAAACCTCCAATCTGCCTTGGTACAGCAGCAAAATGGGAATCTGATTGGTTGATGCCTTTCCATCCTAATAATGTGTTGTCGTTACCGTCTCTGGCAAACAAAAGTTCCAACGTCACCAATATACTTTACATATTATCGTACTCTTCAAAAACTGACTCAACAAACAAAATACCTCCGGGCAACTGTTCAATCAACAAGAACTCCTTTCCCTCCAGACTCAGTTATCGAATGGAAGTCCTTACATGTCTCGGCAAATACTGCGGTTAGATTTCGATCAACCGTCCCAGTAAGCATTCTCCGAACCTTTCTGTAAACTCTTTGATTTTTGTACATATTTTTAACCAAAGTTTTTGTTCCATCACCTTATTTTCACCAACGTATGCCATTCAAACTTCAGTTTTGAAGACTTGTCATTGTCAAGAATAAGAAGAAGAAGAAGGAAGAAGAAGAAGAAGAAGAAAGAAGAAGAAGAAGAAGAAGAAGAAGAAGAAGAAGAAGAAGAAGAAGAAGAAGAAGAAGAGAAGAAGAAGAAGAAGAAGAAGAAGAAGAAGAAGGACAAAGAAAAAGAAGAAGCCCCAGACGACTTTAGATGTTGTTGGTCAGTTATTATCAAATCAAAATCTTCTTAGATATCAGTGTTAAATCGGTTAATGATTTCGTACATCGAACTCCCATCTTCTGCCGAATACTTGATTCTCCTATCAAGTCGCCGATAAAACTTCTCCAACTCTTTCACATTTCATTGTTTGACCTCGTCGACGTCCACCAGTGCCTTCTTCTTCACACTTCAGCTTTATAGGTTTAATTATATTTGGACTTGCCAATATGTACAAAATGTTTTGTTTTTGCAAATGTATGCTCAACGTGTTCATGAATTATTTAAGAAATAAGAAATTCTGATTTAAGAAAAAACATACATCAAACAGTATTATTATCGACATCCAAGTGTCTATAAACTAATAGAATTATTTACACGTAAAAGTGTTCAATCTTTAAATAGACTGGGGAAATATTTGTTGCACGCTACTGCTAAAAGGAAAATTCTCCTAGCTCAGTAGTGATATTATATTAAAATATTATTTGAAACTGCTGTGTTATAAGTGTACATGTATAATAATAATAATTTAATATTCGTTAATAGCGCGTTAAATAGTACTTTAATGACATACCATGTTGTTCTTTCTGGCTGTTTGAAGTTATGTAGTGTTTTCATTATGATGTCATTATTTCATGACGTCACATATATACATGTAGTAACGTCACAAATATAACTATATTGTTAAATACTGTCCTTTCAACAACTTTACAAAAGATCAAGCTGTAAAACGTGATATCATTAATACATGTCTGTAGGTACATGTATAAACATATT